TCAAAGCATTATCTACCTCCTTGGGATGACTTGCACTCAAGAAATGCTGCCCGTCCTTGACAGTGACAAGCTTAGCCTCCGGCGAGTTCACAAACATCTTTATTTCCTGTTCCGCGTTTGCGATTGAGTAAACCACATCGCTTGTACCGTGGAGCCACATTACTGGGCATCGGACATCGAAAAGCCTCCCATGTAGCCCATCTCTGTCCCTGAGGTTGATAGCAGCCATTCTCGCCCTCTTTCTGCCATCGTTGCCTTGGTAGTCGGACTTGATTGTCTTTTTCCAATAGTCTCGAACACTGCTGTCACAATTCTTTCCAAACCCAATGTCAATCAGGAAGTTGCAGACTAGCACATTTCGGAATCAGCATTCCCGTTGGTAGACAAAGATTTGATTAACAAGACATGTTTGAGGAGTGGAAAAGAGGGAGTCAAATAGGTAATTTGTTCCTCCAACATGTCTCGCAATTCAGAAAGCAGTCTCGAACAAGAAATGATAATTTCGAAAAGTGCCTTACAGTGGTCATCAGGCTCAAAACCGGGAGTAGCCTTTGTCGTGGTCCATTTGTCGATCGTCCCTGTGCAAGCATCGATTCCATCCCAACAACCTAACGACCTCGTCCGCTCCGACTCGCTATCCATACTCGTGCCTAGAGGCACGATTCCTTCGATCTTCTCCGGCGCCAGCAATGCCATCCGCACGGTAATCCAACCACCCTGGCTTGTACCGAGTACAAAAGCCTTCTTGACTCCCAATGACTCCATGACTTGTAGGTTCATGAGAGCAGTATCCCAATACGTGAAGTTCTCGTGCGGAGTCCGGGTCTTGCCATGACCAAGGAGCTCAATGGCCAGGAGATTCATTGCGGAGGTGAGCTTGGAGTTACCATACTGGCCAGCGTAGAGGTCGGAGGATGTAGTGAAGGAGTTAACGAGGACGAGGGTGGGTTTTGATGGGTCGTAGGGATGGGGCATTCTGGAGGATAATTTTGAAGTTAGTGTTGCCTATTGGAGGGCGCGTATTGAGCTTTGGAAGATGTCTACAAAGTGAACACTCTCAAATATGTCTCAGGACTCCATTTCTGGTCCCAAAGGGGAAAGACGGACTGCGAAAGTACGTACTGGTAGCCTGCAGTGGCATTGAGGTGAGGAACAGAGACGGTCTTGGTATTTGACATAGTGACGATATTACTGTGATATTTTCTAAGCTGCTTTGGACAAGGTGTAGTAGTATTGTGGATGAAAATAATTCTGTGGACAGCGAAGAGCAACGGCTTCGTATAAAAGCGAGATGAGAAATGCTTTTCCCCGCAAAGCGGAGAAGGAACAGCATCCGACAGGAGACATACATCGACCCTACCCATGAGCAGGCTTCAGTCGCTTGACGTCACTCCCAAGTCTGCCAACCGGTAGTTTGAGGAGTGGAAATGTGAACCATTTGGCCGGATGTCTCCCCGCAAAGCATCTGCGCTTGAGTCCACGTTGAGCTTTCAGGCCCGGCTTGATTCCGCTTCATTGACAAATGGACCCCTCCATCTGGATCTGGCTTATCTGGCAGAGACGACTCCCAATTACCTATCCGTTAAGGTGAGTTGAGAACATCTGGTGTATCAATTCATGGAGTGGTTCACCTAAGGTCCTGAACAGCGCTAGTACCAGCCCTAGCCCTATTCTCCGAAAGCAGCCCATTAGTGGGAAACCCTAGAGCTACCTCGCATGAATTGAACTACTCTAGGGACCTCCTTTGGGCGTGATACAGGCCAGAGGTACAGTAATTTCCAAGCACTTCTAAGCGCACAGCCCAACAGCACAGAGTCTCAAACGAGAGACGACGCAACTTGGGGAGCAGAGTCGTCCAACGCTCAACGCGGGATCCCGGGTTTTGGGTGGGGGAGTCTTGGCGTCCGGGGCATTTGGTGCAGACCTCCGTACAGAAGCCATTTTGCCAACACCAACAATCCTTCGACCATAAGAGCCTCAAAATGTGCTTGCATCATTGTAGATACAGGTATGCTGGTTAAATGATACGAAACTGAATCGTTCAAACCAGTCTTATCCAGTGACAATTCTTGGGATTCATTTCGTGAATGTTTGCGTTTGAGGTCTTTCGTTCCGCGTTTCCCTCCATTGGCTCTGATGCTCAGTGTCTTTTTATAATTCTGCCCCTCGGCAGGAGGAATGTTTCAGCTTTGCGTTGGTTGTCCATGTCTTATCTCTGAAACGCACAAGAAATGGACAGCTCTCAGCTATATTTTCCAAGGGCTTTGCAACTTTGATTGCTCAGTGCTCTAGTGAAAGACCCACGCAACCATCCAAAGGGAGACAGGAACGCTTCCGATTATCTTCTTCAGGTTTTGCAAGGGAAAAACATGGAGCTACACATGTGTGGCTTCAATACGCACCATCAACTCGACCATAACCAAGACCATCACAAAGACGAGATCACACAATTCTGGAAAGTCTTGAGGTCGCCTCAAATCAACGTGTCGTGTGCACTTTGGAGTTCCACAGTTATTCAAAGTGATGGGACTCTTTTACATCAGGGATACCGCCCATCGGGACTTTATCCCACACTGATAGACGGTCCACCACCGAGAAACATCAAGACCATTTTCGGGGATACGAGCGGCGTACTCGGTGCCCTAACTACAGATGGATGTCTCTTTCTCTATCATGACGACTGCGGCAGCAGAGTTGGCCCAGAGTTTAAGAAGCACCGATTCCCCAAAGACAGCTTCATTATTCAGCAAAGCTTGGCGATTGAGCATCTTGCAATTGCTGATAATGGTGAAGTCTGCATCTGCACCAGTGCGTCCCTCTCCATATCAGCCCCTCATACCTATTGACTTTGACCAGATAGCGCGTCCCGAAAGAGACATTCCGGTGGAAACACACCCTCACTGTCAGACAATACACCGCACTTTCTGTTCTCTCCACCTACTGCCAAGATCGAGATCCAACTATTCTCATCTTTCCAGAGCCTCCTGGTCTGCGAGCCTGCAACGGCCACTCACTTTATTCAAACACCTTTATTTTCTTTACTATCTTCCGCTACGAGTTTTACCGCGTTGACTGTAACGCGTGAGGTGCTGACTTTCGGATCTGCCTTGCATCCTCAGAGTCTTGGACGAGATCCAACCGTATCCAATCCTGCGGGTTCACCCTGTGTAATTCCCTTCTTGGGCGGTATCCCGATCGGCAAGATCGCTGTCGGTGGCTGGATTGGTGCCGCGGTGTCTGAGGATCGGGATCTGTATATCTGGGGTGGACGTGCTGGTGAGGATAGGAGAATGCACGCTTTACCAAATTTCTCAGATGACGAGACAGTCCGGCTAGTGGATATCAACGGTGGGGTGGATATCTTGCAGGTAGGCGTGGGATCTGGGCACGTTATCGCGCTGACGGCAGAGGGCGAAGTCTGGGCTGCGGGAGATGGAGAATGTGGGCAACTTGGCACTGGGGAGATGAGATTTGAAGAGGATTGGGTAAGAGTTAGGGGCGAGTGGGAGGAGAGGGGAAAGGTGGTTGGTTTGGGCTGTGGAGTTTGGTGTAGTTGGATATTGGTCGATACCCGGACGACGAACGAATTAGAGCAGTAGCCGGCAGACATATGTTGTGGTCATCGATAGTGCATTTTGTTCCAATTACGGGACTTCTTTCGCAGCTTGCATGCAGCTTTCGGTCAGTCAGAGGGGTCGTTGACCACGATTCTGAGCCAGGTAGTCAAAGACACAGGGCGCAGCTTGAAGACTTCTGCATCACCTTGCATTCCTGACATCCGAGATGGCGAACCCTTATTCTAGACACTCGACATCTTCCCTTTCCTCCAACCCTCAACCCTAGCTGGCCGCGTGTACAGTCGCGCTTGAAGTTCCGCGTTGTGTCTCGATTGGTTAGGGATGCAGGGTGCTCATATCTACTTACTTCAGGCATCAACGATGCATCCACAAACTTATATTTTACCTCTTTAGGTACTTAATGTAGTTTTCTCTCTCGGTCTTATTGCATTTGAACTAGCACTGTCGAGTATATAATCCTTTTCCACAAATAACCGAAAAGACCACTCTGCTTAACCTTCCATTTGAGTTGAGGCAACAGATATGGGAAGAAGTTATTGGACACCACAAATACCTCCATATTCGAATACTCTATTCCCGAGATGACCGCTCCTCACAGCAATTGAAACATTTTGTATTTGCTAGGGATTCTCCTGAGATACATGGACATAAAGCCCTTCCCAATACCAGCTCCTCCACACCTGCTCACGTCGGCGACCTCAAGCAATCAATCCCTATGTGTCTTTATCGCCAAAAAAGGTTTACGCAACGACGTCTCTCAAGTGTCCCTCAGGTTTCTCCAAACAAGCCGTCAGGTACATGGACGACGAGCACATTCTCCTTCGGTCGTCCGGTGCTAGTTTGGGATTTTGGATCAGCCCTCACAACAACTCAGAAGTGGTCTCTTCACAAGGTCCATCTTAGCATCAAAAGCCGCCTCTTCACAATCGAGGATTTCCATGATTACAGTATTATGGTTTCTGCAATTGCAATGCTGTATGGGCTGAAAAGCTTGCATGTCTGCGTCGATATGTTAAACCAGGTGGACAAGTATTTGGCGACAGGTATTCGTCAATCGCTCAAGATGACGAAAGCGTCCGTCACTATTGTAGTTGTCGGATAGAGAAAGGTTATGAATGAGCGATGGGAATGTGGGGAATGTTCTGAGGACCCACAAATTCGATTCGCGGATACCGTCTGGTTTCGACTGCAGAGGTCGGCCACTTGGATTGCCGAAATCGGACATGAGCAAACAATGGGGGACGTCAAGTACACTCTATGGGCTCCAATTGAGGGCTGGATTAACGAAGTGCTGGAGTATCAGCACTGTCCCATCTCTTCGAAACCACGCGGTAGGTTTTACAACCGGGTGTGGTATACGGAATGTCGGCTGCTAACCGTTCTAAGATATCTCGACTTGGGTGGGCTATCATGCACCCTTGCTCACTCCGGAAACGGTTCCCCCGTATAAATATCGACCATTTTGATCTCATTGCGGCCCAACGCTTCATTCAACACCGCCTCCTTGACTTCTACCACTCTCCGCTTCATGATCTCTTTCAACAGCACCAGCATCGTAGCCTTCAGCGCTTGACCCTCCTTCCGCGACAGCGAGGGCCCCTTATCATCGAGGAAAAGATTGTCAGGAATCCACTTGGCGCGAACCTTGACTCTCAGAGTCTTCTTAGTCACCAGACCCTCCTCTATTTCTTCCTCGGCTAGTAGTCGCAGTATATCAAGGACTACTTTCCCAATATGCGTGGGAACCTTGCCGTCCTTGCTCGCGCCGCACATCGAAAACGCTCCGATGAACAGCTCGATGTGAGCTAGGCGGCACAAAACATGCGGATATATTGGCCCTGAACCTGGAAGCGACGGGAGGTGCCAGCAATTGTCTTTATGAAGTCTTTTGTAGATTGTTGTGCGCTGATTCGGATGGGTACGAGCTTCCTCGGGCGATCATCATATTCGCCTTCTGTTGAGACATCTGTGGGAGGGGTACGATTGGATCGGAATAGTGGTAAGATACGGCGTTTGTGGTCGAGTTTCAGTAGGAAGGTGTTCTTGTTATACAAATGGCAAATTGCTTCTTCGTAAATCTGTTTATTGGTGCGAAGAATGGAAGGGCAGAGGTTAGAGTGTATTTCGCGGCCTTTGCTGTCGTCATAGAGCGTGATAGGTTCAGAGCGCTTAGAGGAGAGGAGTTCGGAGTAGATGATGTTGCGGAGCTCGAGTGGCAGAGTAAGGAGGGTCTGTGTGTGTATGTTAGTGGCCATTTCTGTCCCTCGTTTTCTGTTATAATGAATTATTAAGGTAATGGGAAGAGATCCTCTTGCTTACTTTATGTAGTAGTCAAACCTGCTAGAAGGCTACCGTGACACTGCCACTCGCCTGTGAGAGAGGTCGGTGGTGGCTGTGGACGCTAGTACCTGTCTATGCTGGACAATCGTCTCCATCTCCAGAACCTACGATCATAGCCAGCGGAAGTGAACATTTCTCATTCCCAGTCTACTCGGTTCCGGCCATGCGTTTAGCCAACGCTCCCTTGACCTCGCCGTTATCGTGTATCCTGAATGGCTGTCGACTTCTAAAACGCCAAGCCAAGCGTGATAGCAGTCGCTCCAGAGACCGCCTCAAGGTTCCTCCCACACGGAAATGTTGTCCTTCTTCCCCTCTACCAGACGATGAATATCCCACTGTCTCTAGAGAGACCCAAAATACAAAAATGGAACAGTCCCGATCTATGTTCATGACTAGATTGCCGTTGGAGGTGCGAACGATGATCTATGAAGAGGTGCTTTGCAGACCTGTGGGTGTCGTTCATATCACAACCCGGAAGGATGGCAAATTGGTCTACTTTAGGTGTAAAGCCGAAGACGGTCGATGTCGTGGCTTCGAATGTTTTCATGGCAACAATGAAGACTTGTATAGCACATGGCGGACAAGGGACAAAGACCTTTTCAGTACATGGAGCCCTAGCAATACACCAGATCGGGCCGATGGGGGCTTGGTAGCTTTACTCCAGAGCTGCCGGCAGGTGTCAGTATCTCTGAATATGTGCAATACCATCTAGTCGTATTGACTGCAATTCAGCTACACCGAAGCCATAGGTATGCTCTACCGCAACACTTTTAGCTTCACGGAACTGCCGCTCTTCCTCCACTTTACCTCTGCGATATTGCCCGAAAGTTTGAGTTCTGTTCAGAGTCTGCAGTTTGAATATGCTCTGTTTAGAGAGCTATGCTACATGTGGCCGTATCTTCATCCTTGGGGTGAACGTCGTGAATGGATGGATACGCGTCAAATTCTTTCAAGCATACAAGGACTCCGGGAAGTTCGTGTCAAAGTCGATATGCCGGCTAATGGATTTGACGAATCTGAGCATGCCAGCGAGCTGATGAGGCATCTCATGTTGGGAACAAAGGCGAAGTTGCTCGTGGAAGCAACATAGCTACCCTTCATGCAAGGTGCGCAAGGGGAAAACTTGCGAGGTTTTCGCCCCGTAAAAGGCAAAAACCAATGTAGGAAACCTCAAGCGATCAATGGTATGTAAGCCAAGGAGTTGTCTCCGCAGCCATTGACCCAAGAGATCAATCTATGGTTCCGTGGGGGATTACTTGATCTTGGGCCTTGGAAGCTGATATTTGCCAACGAATGGCGTGCAGACAGTGGTACAGATCTACCAAACCGTCCCCGATTGTTCAGAGGGGGTTTGAGGGCAATGAGCAGACCCGAACCTTTTCTGCATAGCGATTTTCCACTGCACTTGCACACCTAGCGAACTGTCCAAGGAATTTTCCGCTTTCTTAGCCTCTGCGTGCTCAAAATGTTTGGGCTCGCAAATACCAAACATGACATTTACTGTGGAATTTGAATGAATGATCAATAGCAGAGACAAGCCTGCAGAAAAACAGCCAGTCATCCATCTTGGAACTATGGTGTACAGAGATTGAACAAATCATACGAAAAAGCATTGGGCTGGAGGCTTAATCAAGGTTGAAACACCGAGAATACTCGTAAAGAAACAATCTCTGACTCCATTTCAAGTTCGTTTTGGTCAGCAATTGAAAGTCTCGATACGGGATGTTCAGAGTTCATTACAGTAAGCACAACTTGCAGCGAGAATGAGGATCTTCTTGAGTGGTCCAGATTTAATGATATTCTCGTTTGTCCTCCGTCGTTCCCTCACCCGGGTTTGCCTGACCCTCTCAGCGCTTCTGGTACTAATCACGGATCACGCCGCAATTTTCTTAACCAAGCTTTCGCACAAGACTCTGCAAGGGAGATATTGAACTGAACATCTGAAGGCCCAGCTTTAGTAGAACAGTACGACACGATATTTCCCAGTTGCGGACCAAGCCAGCGTTGTGGCAGCAAGCCTCATGGCTTTGAGAAATCGCAAATCAATGCTCGGAGATCTCAGGAGAGTTTTCAGCAATGAGAAGAAACCCGAAGTGCCGGCCATGCCAAACAAGGATCCTGTTGATGTCCCTGTCAGCGCCTTGCGCATCAGCCGCTACGGTCTCGTACAAGACCTGCAGCTCACATCCTACAGAAAAAACGACGCCAAGTTCATGATTGGCGACAATTACTACTATGTTCCTAGTTGCATGCAAGCACCAGGAACGACCGACCTAGATCCCGCGATTCGCAGGTTAAAATGGGTTTTCGAGAAGGGGTATGCTTCAAAGTCCACGGCAGCGAAGCAGGAATCGTTCATGGGGGTCTACAGCATTTGGTACAAGGACTTGGGCACGTCCCGTGGTCTCAAGACATTGTCGCAGATAAGTGGCGACTTTTGGATGATGAAGCAGGTGCAGGATGCGCCCCAGAGCGGTGATACGATTGAGTGGGGCGAGATTCCCAAGGATATGGTCAATGAGTTGAATCATGATTGGTGGTTTATGGGAGTGCAACTGCCTGACATTGATGCTGTTTGCAGAGAGGTAGCAGCGAAATCGGGACGTCCATCCTGACCATCCTATCAGATCAATCAGAACTCCGGCACGGTGTACTGTAGCACGAAGGATTTATGACGGTCGACCAACCAACAGTAAGGAACTCTAGAAGAGCTATCTCTACCCCGAATAACAAGTATTGTTTGTTGTAGGGAGAGCTGAAGGCGAACATATCGGGCCGTATTAAAAGTCAGTGGACGAAGGCCAAATGAATCGATGATTTGTCTGTCGCCAACCTTTTGATGTTAAAAGAATCGCATCGCCCAACAAAAGACTTTGAGAAAATATCGTGTGTCACAGAAGCATGAATAGTGGGCTCTGACCGTCTTTGCCTCCTCATTTCTAGCTCCGTACCACACTTCCATCATTCTTTCGAGGTTGGTCACGAGCACACACTTCGCTTAATCGCAGTCAATTATTTCTATTCTTCTGGGAACGCTACTGGTGGGATCGCTAAGCAATGACTTGGCCACTCTCTTCCCTCTTCTCGTTTTATGGGAAAGTGCCTAGGCGATCTGGATGCGCACAGTTCTCCTGCCAAGGCACCACGCTGTAAACAATCAGCCCTTTGTGACGAAGGTTCGGGCTTCAATCGTCCCGTGGGCCCTCCCATGACCATGTTCTTGCAGTCGCAGCTCCAGTCCTCTTCTCCAAAATGAAGCATAATTGGACCTTGAGGCTTTCGTAGCACCAAGCGTTCCCAATCCATTCAGGCTCGCGGGTCGAGACCATTCTTGTTGACGAAGGGTGAAGGTCGAGAGGCGTGGAATCTGTATTCTAGGAGTTCAACTTGTTCAAGCGTTGCTTAGCCCAGAGATGGACTCTCGCTACCAGTGAAGGAGGTACATAGTAAGAGACCATATCGAGGATGAAGCCTTGAGCGGAGACGGGATCCTGCCAACGTAAGCTGTTCCATTGAAGGCCGCTCTTTGCATCCGGCGCGACGATCATATCACAAGTGTGAGTCGATGTGATTGCGGACATGGTTGCGAGAACATTTCAAACAATGTTTTGCTGTGAGTCTTTAGATAATACCCTTAGAGATTCTCGAGCGTTTTCCCTCGAACACACTTTGACATAAAACCTCGTATGCCTCATATCGAACATACCGAACTACGCTGCAAGTGCTGTCTGTATCTCGGATAAATCGTGTCGAAAAAGTAGCCGTTTCCTTTGCATTCAAAAGGTATCTCGACAAGGAGTGTGTGACTGAGAAGAGCGCCGACTGTTAGAGATATTAGACCTTTGGTGTAGTAAGCGATATTTTTGCACATTCAAGAAAATCCGCGTGAGCTCAACCCAAGAGACAAGACTCAACACAAGGTTGGGTTAGAACACATTGTACAATGGCATTGCTGAGACCAACGTTCCGAGCGCTGGGAATCGCTGTAGAGAGTGTTCAAAGCTCATGCCAGTTAGATCTTTTTGGACACGAGACAGGCCAATGGTAAGGATGGAGGGACCCCCGAAGGAGTGGTCTTTGCTGTCGGTATCCCATTCGCTGTGATGGCTGAGAGTGTGCTCAGCTTAAGAGAAGAGTTACTACCGGGGGCTATTTTGAGCAGGCTATATAGATGATAGGGACCCGTTTCTAGGCATTCTTTCCTACGCGTTCATCCCTGGGTGTTTTGGACAAGGGGCACTTGGGCATTAGGTCAAAAGGCACTATGGTTGGAGATCCTGAAGACGGAATTGGAACTTTTGCTAGTATTCACCAAGCAACCTGTGAGCCTCATTGAGCTTCTGTTGCTTGACCATAAGGAGCCTGAATAGTCCTTTCGGAACGTAGCTGTGCTTCCTCCAATTTACCCCCTTGCTCGCTCACTACCACTCTTCTGCCCTCCCGCTCTCGGCTCTCAAGACTCGTACTCCTTGACTTTGAGCACAAACTTGGCTTGGCTTCCCTGTTCAACCGGCACCAGCAGTTGCAGCTCACTTCCCGGATCATGAATCCTTGCCCAAACAGCGTACGCAAACTCCTCCTGGCTATCCGCAGGCCATCCCACCTCCGTCCAGTTGGCCTCTTGAGACCTGACATGCGTCTCTTCCGCCAATTGAACAATCAAGACCTCGGAGACTTTGACGTTTCTAACCAGCTCATAGACGCCCCGGGCTTCATGCTTTGTAGTATGAAGCCAGTGATTAGTCCAGAACCAGATGTTCAACGATCGTAGACCGCTTAGCTTCTCCATAGCGAAACGCACTTGAACAGCATCTCGGGTGAGACTGCTGTCTGTGATGCCCGAGTGGTTGAAGAAGTCGTTTGGCATCTTGATCTTCATATTGCGAACGTCACATTTATGGGCAGGAGTGAGGCTTCTTATCCACGACACAAGCGCTTTGGCCTCCGTGAAATAGAAGGTTGTGTTGCTGAAAAGGTCGTAGCCCGCTTCGTTGTCGATTTGACGGCAGCTTTGAATGAAAGCGATCTGCAGTTGCAAGCTACGAGGACAAGGTTCTGTCGAGAACCACATGGTCGAGTATTCGGGGTTGATGTCCATATAGAGACGCAGCCGCTCGACATAGCTGGTGTAGATTCTGGGTGCTACCTCTCTGACATGAACACAATCAAACTCTTCGAGAAGCATTGTCCATATTCGTTGCCGTAGTTCAGGCGAGAGTAGCAGAAGACGCGAGGTAGAGGGCAGAGGCCGATGCAGTGTTCGGTTCGCTCCGATCAAACAATGTTGAAGACTCTCCGGCGATTCCAGTAGCAGCAAGAGGAGAGAGAGAATAATGAACTTGGCTGTTTTGTAGACGTATATGCCCAAGCGCCAGAAGAGAAAGCGGAGTAGCTGGAGCTTCTTGGGCCATTCCAGCAACGAGAACAGACGAAACAGTACGAAGATTCTAGCCAATATGGCGAAGAGGTAGAGGGGCAGTAGGCGCTCGGAAGCCGCAATCCAGTAGCCCAGGAGCCCGAGCAGAAAGCAGACTAGCTGCCAGACCATGGATCCCATGTTACCCAGAGTGTGGTCTAATAGCAGATGAAAGGTGTGTGGTAGATTGTGTGCAAACAAGGTATGTTGGAAGTCGATGGTTGGATGCCAGGTTCTGAGGGTGGTTGGTTGATTGCTGAATTATTGCCACAACAACCTGGGAAAGACACTTACTCTTTGTGTCACTTAGTCTGCTGTTGTGAAGATTTTCACTGCATCCGTAGTAAGTGTGACGCCGTGGCCGTACACCAAAGCGGCCACGGCGGTTCAGAGCTATATTTAAAGCAAAATAATGACATCGACAAAAACACTTAAAGTAACGACGTCCATAAGATAAGAAAAACAAGACCTTGTTATTGGATCTTCTTGTCCCCAACGTTCTTCGTACCCCTCCGAGGCACCAAAGCTAGCACCCATCCTACCAGAAAAACAATTAGCCCTATCATATATATACAGCCTCGCACAGTATGATCCATCCACCCAAGCACCGGTCTCCTTCCTCTCGAAAACGTCGAATCCACGAACTCGAACGGCAGCTTTGCCCCCAGATGCTCTAAGGCGATCTTGAGCCCGCTCGAGAATCCATCCTCATGGAACCCATACTTAGTCCAGGCGCCCGCATAGCTTATGCCCCTTGTGTTTTGTATGCGTGGCAGAAGTTTCTGCGAGCGTATGGCAGCTGCATTGTATAGTGGATGATGATATGTCCAACTACCTTGTGCAGATTTGGGCGGATGAAGAGGATTGAGAGTCACAAGGACCATACCATAGAGGGAGGGAATGTGCTGAAGAAGGTTCATCCAGTAAGTCAGGCAGACGGACGGAGCGGTGTTGGGAGATGGGGAGGTAGTGATATAATTCCAAGAGGACCAAGCAACGTATCGCTTTGGCATGAGCTTCGATATGTTAGTGTTCCATTGAGAGAAGCTGGTGATCTCGATACATACCGAGCGGTCTGAATGGAGCACTGCTGTGTTCTTACTGGTCTTGAATCCCGACATGATTTCTGTTTCTTGTGGTGTGGCTATGTTGCGAATGATATCCATTGCTTGATCGCCGTGCGTTGCTAGAATTACATGGTCGAAATCCTCTCTTTTACCATCTGTTCGATGAATAGCTAGCTGTTTGTTCTCTGAGAAGCTCAAGGATTGGATCCCGGTATTGAGATGAATGTGATCCTCAGGGAAGTCACGCATTACAGCATCAATATACTGCTTCGAGCCGCCTATGATCGTCATCCATGTTGGGCGAGCAGCAACTGCGGTGAGGAGATGGTGGTTCCACATAAATCGAACGAGGGTAATGGCCGGAAACTCTAACGAAGCTTTGTCTGGGCTTGTGCTCCAGACGGAAGCAGTCATGGGTATCAGGTAATCGTTGCGAAAGGCTTCTGAATAATCCTCTTGGTCCAAGTACTCCCCAATACTTTGTTGCCGTGCAGGCTTCCCAACGTGTTTGGCTGACCCGTTGGCTCCACTTATGTCGACTTCGCTCTCGTCTTCCTCAGAAAGCAGATCCAGCGCGAATTGATTGAATCGGACAATGTCGAAGATCATCTGCCACATCCGAGGTCTGAAGAAGTTGGATTTCTGAGCGAATACAGCAGAGAGAGACGTCCCAGACCATTCGAAGAGTCCTTGATCGCGAGACACCCCAAAGGTCATATCAGTCGGCGAAGTGGGTATTCTGATCTCTTTCAGAAAGGCAATAAAATTCGCTACGAGCGTGAGCCAACTTAGGGCACACGTTGAGGCCATGGACTAACGGTAGGTAGCGCTGTTCATAACGATGAAGCCAGTATCAACATTCACAGTTTTTCCTTCATATCTAAAAGGGACTGTATTGGTATGGCCCCCTAGCCTATCCTTCGCCTCATAAAGATGAACTTCGTGATTTGTACTTTTGAGAGCCCATAGTGCAGCAATGCCAGTGCAGCCGCTACCAACGATGGCAACTTTCTTCTTTTCCTGCATGATATACGATAGACAGAAGCTTTTCAGCGGCGCAAACGAGGTACCAGAAGCCTCTAGATGAAACGAGTGGAAGGAGACGCAGGTAATGTTCTTTCAACAGTCAGGCGGTTTTCTTAGAGCTTTGAGAAAAAGAGAAGCCTGATTTCGGACCTCAATGGTATTCATTATACAAATTTGACGGCTATCAAGCGGCGTGAATATGTCACGGGAAGCTCTCGTATTCGTGTCCGGCTGATGACTTCTATATCGGTGTTCGGATTAAATATACGCCTAGCTCCAGCCTTTCAATGACAACAGCCTAGAACAGCCTCCTGCAGCTGCAACACCTTCCAGACAAACTAAGTCTGGCCATCTGCTCTGACATCTGTGGTTTGACAGCTCACCATCATAATTCAAGACAGCTGGATACATTCTGTGCTTTTCTCAACCAAATCCTTTCCCATTCGGTCTACAATCATAACCGCCCAGAGCCGCCGCTCAAGCAGCCAACATCCTGCCCTTCGACCATGGCGAACCCACTGGATACAGACGCCGGCTCAGAGCTTTTCAGCAACTATGAAGCCGAGCTGAAACTCGTGCAAGCAGACCTCAGTCAGAAGCTCGATCAAATAACAGAATTATCCGGTGAACCCAGGAAATCAGCAGTACGGTTAGCGGAGCGCTCACTTGAAGAAGCCAATGAACTGGTATGTCTCCTCTCCGCGTATTTCTCACGCAGTTCCTACCCTCATGGTTCTGGATATGCTGACCCCCCCCAGCTTGACATGATGCGCATCGAGAAACAAAACATACCCTCCGCAACCCGCTCGCGCATAAATCCCCGCTTCCGCAACTTCGAAACCGACATCGATGCCGCGAAACGCAAGCTGAAGACTCTCTCCGACGACCGCTCCGCTCTCTTCGGCTCCCGCTACTCCGACAACCCAACCAAAGACGACCAGCTCGAGCAGCGCCAGCAACTACTGAGCGGAACGGATAGGTTGGACAGGAGCAGTCAGCGGCTGAGGGACAGTCAGAGAGTGGCAAATGAAACGGAGGATATTGGAAGGGGGACGCTGGCAGATTTGCAGTTGCAAAGGGAGACGATTCAGCATACGAGGGCGACGATGTTGGAGAGTGAGGGGTATGTGGATCGCAGTGTGAAGACGCTCAGGGGGATGGCGCGTAGGTATTTCATCCCTTTCACCCTACACGGCCGTACCTTTTGGATTGCGAACTGATGTGTGTGCAGGATGGCTACAAATCGGATTATAACCGTCGCGATAATCACCGTGCTCGTTCTTCTAATAATCCTGGTTGTCTATAGCAAATTCAAGTAGGGGCTGTACGATCACGATGTTCAAATATGACCTGCTTTCCCCGAAGTAACGAATTTTCCAACACATGTCACGTGCGTGAGCGAGAGATGAAGCTGGAGGCCTTTTGCTGGTGCAAGCAAGCAAGCCCCCAGACTTCCTCCACTAAAGGACCGCATCACAAGCGCGGCAATACTGATTCATATATGCGTTCATAGCAATGACCCTTTCAGACTGGCCTTTCTGGACCAGGCTATGAGGCTCTGCGACGTTGGAAAACCAGAGCTTTGCCTTTCGGCTCAATCTTCCAGAGGGAAACCTAAAAGAGAGATCCGTCAAGACGTCGAAGAACAGAAAGGAGGAGATGGAGTCCTCACACGTATATCCCTCTCCATTGGTTCTCTCAGTGAATGAAGATGAGTGCTCAAAGTAGGTGATTTGTGAAGATGGGCGAGATCCTCGTTTATAATAGCTACAGCCTCAAAACCCCGACAGTTTCGCAGGGTGTTTATAGTGAAGAGGGAGGATGAGCGACTTTGGCAGCTCCAGACATGAATGCTGAGAGCTATGCATCAGCCATGTGAGATCACTCTGGCTATGCAGCCTCTCACTTACCAAAGGAGAGTGTGCATATCTTGATCATTCTGCTCCCGGGTGAGGGCGTACTATGCCATTGCTTTATATACTTTTCCCGTCTAGTAGCCTTGGACCATCTTGGCTATATACGGCTCCTCCAAATACTTCGCCTCTTCATCGCTCAACTCGAACTTGACCGCCTCGACCGCCTGGTCAATCCTCTCCTTACTTCCGAGTCCCACAATCGGGTTGACACACTCTTGCCGTATCGACCACGCGATTGCCACGAGTGCCATGCCCACGCCTCTCTTCTTCGCAACCTCTTCCAACCGATCTACAATATTTTTATCGATTTCCGTCTCTTTGCTTCGGATAAGAGATTTGAGGAAGTTGTCAGTCTCTTCACGCTTGGTGGATCGATCGCCCCAAGGTCGGGTGAGGACGCCGCGGGCGACTGGAGACCATGGAATGCAACCTACACCCGAAGCGCGGCAGTAGGGGAGCATCTCTCGCTCTTCTTCGCGGTAGAGGAGATTGTGGTAGTTTTGCATGGAGATGAACTTGTGCCTGGACAAAATTTAGCTGCAATCAACCAATGAGCAGTTGGGATCTTACCATCCATTGGCTTCAGCAATGTTCTGTAGCATCTGAAACTCCCATGCCGCCATCGAGCTTGCTCCTATGTACCTCACTTTCCCGCTTTCCACCACATCGTTCAACGCCTTCATGATCTCCTTCTTCGGCGTTTCCCTATCCAACCTATGGATTTGCAGAACATCGATGTACGTGCCCAACCTCTTCACACTTGCATCCACTGCATCGAAGATGTGCTTGCGGCTCAGACCGACTTGGTTGACCATTTCGTCGTCGTTTTTTGACAGGGCTGCAATTCGAGGTTGGGCGCCGGATCCGTCAACGCCTTGGCAGGTCAGTTTTGAGGTCATACTTGGAGATAGTCGATGGATGTATGGGTACCGAAAAAGCATTTTGACAGAATTACCACTTTCTGACGGGGGATGTTGTATTTCGACAAGGCTTTGCCTATGATCTCTTCGGATTTGCCGTTGGAGTAGACGTCGGCCTCGGTACCAAGTCAGCAATTGTCAGAAGAGAGATGATCGGCAACGGTATCAGGTGAATTACGTACGGTATCCCATGTATTCAGCCCAACTTTATAGGCATGCTCGAGCAAAGGGAGCGACTTCTCCTCATCAAGAACCCAGTCTTGCCATTCGGGCGAGCCATAGGACATTGCCCCAAGGATGACCTTCGATATCTTGAGACCCGAGTCTCCCAATCTGGGAACATGATCAGATTCCCGACATCCATACTAACTGAAATATATGTTCTGCTTGCCGTGTGTACTCCATTGTGGATGCGAATCGCTGAGCGTTGTGTTGTTGTGATAAGTGAAGGACTGGCTTGACCGTCAACGTTGTAAAGACAGCTTTCAAGAGACTTTTCCCACAGACGACGTTCATATACGGAATCTAAGAGAAATGAGGGACGCTTGGAGAGTGTTCGTCTTTGAATAGTGCAACATTTCTACATCATCATTCGGACATTAGGCGCTAATCTCCGTGCTTCAAATTGCCGTTGTCCCGGACCGCTGTCAACCAAGAATGAGGAGTCCTGCTACAAGAGATCCACAACTCCATGGCAATTAGAGGAGATGCCGCTTTAGTAGAGCTCGCCGGACTTTAAACTTTACGAAGTGGAGCATTTTTCGTAGGTGATTGTCATCGTAGTCGTACTAATAGCACAGGAACGACGTCCATTTGCTACTTCTTATAGCTTACCTGTATAGAGGATCGTCTAACAGCCCCAGATCTCCTTGACTGTTGAGTTTGCTGGCTTCGAAGTACGACATCATGGAATACGAGTGTTAGATCACTGCTTCGGATCTATCTGAGGCTTGAGCTCAAGAATTGCTCAGGTTTTGGGGGCCTCAAGCCAGACTATGCTACTTTGTGAGGAGGCCTGACTGTAAGCCATGGAGAAACGGCCATGTAGACTGTGTCTAGTGAACAAGACACCGACCGAGCAAGCACCGGGAATTCCGTAGCGGTTCATATGCTGTATCCCGATCTCTCTTTGTATCGCGAAGCCTGCTGCGTAATATATGCATATGCTTCAAAAAGCGCCTCTAAACTGATCCAGTATACCTCTTCCCAGTGTTCTTCTTCTCGCCTCGCCCTCACTTCTACCATCAGCGCCAGTGCCACTTCCCTCGCCTTCCAATCTTCTCCTCAACCTCTCGAAGCCTTGGCCTGTATTTGCCTTCTTCTCACCAACCACCCACCCTGGTACCCTCCACCTACCCCAAGCGCCAGGTCCCCATTCGCCCCTCCAGGCCACTCCAACCATCCAGCCCACACTTGCCGCTATCGCGGAGCCTGGGAACGAAGATAGGGCAAGCTGGCCAGCGAGCAAATAGACTAGAAATTTATCGCTGAGGACTGGTCCTTGTTCTTCGCTTGCGCTGGAAGATGTAGAAGGGGACTTAGAGGTTACAATACGATACTTGTAGATTGTAGGTATTGCGGCGTGGTATTGAGCGAGAAGGGCGAATATAAGGGGCGTAGGACCTGCGGGGAGGTGGTTTACGGCGCCGAATGTGAGGGGGCGGAGCATGGTTGTGACGATTGGAGGGAGGAGTAGGGTTGGTGGGAGGAGGCTGAAGAGAAAGGACTACATAAGGTGTCCGTCAGCCCAGCTATGATCGTAATAAGATATAGGGATGAATGCGTACGGCGAACTTTCGAGAGCCCCACAGGCGCTCAATGATGCGGAGGTGGTAGAGTGACATGGCGGCGAACAGGAGTTCTGTGGAGTTGTTGTAGCAGCACTAGTCAGTTGGCAAAAGTCAACCTTAGTCTGTCCCTCATCAACTGCTACCTCATAGAATATCATGATTTGGGATCTTGAGAGAGCGAGACCTACCTGCCAGACCAGCAACCTCCATGCCTGCTTATACTGCCATAAGTGCGGTACGACCTGAATATAAAAAAGATACTTGGTGTCTGTGATACTGACAAGTATCGAGGAAGCAATGACGCCAAAGAAGAGACATTGAGACACAGGTGCCGCTGTGAAACCTGAGGCGAGCATGGCAGTCGATAGATAGGGCTTTGTGCAGAGTGCTGCTAGGTTGAAGATATTAAGGTGGAAGTACAGCTGACTTTGTCATATCTGCACGTCTTCGTTGTAAACATCAGCAGGCTTTTGCTCCTGGTCTTTGCGAGGTGTTCATCACACCAATTGGCAAGTAGGGCATTGGAGAGTGACCGAGAGGTCGACATCTGGCCATTCTAAGGGCTGCACATAACCCTAACCCTATGACATCTGCTGTGGCAAGAATGGCTCTAGCGGCTACTGTCTCTCTTTCTTTTTTCTACCGAAGCCTTCCTACAAGGATTGGTCTGGGCATTCATTTTTTACGGGATAGAGATGTCGCAGCTGGGAGTCATCGGGGAATGATAAAGAGATTGGTTTTGGGCACTTTGAATGCTCATCGCTTGTTGTGCTATACTACCTGCACTTCAAAGCTACCTATCAACCTTGCGGCTCATGAATGAGACGAGAACGACTGGCGTGTTCATCTTCGGGCGTCGTAGATGATCTGGAAAAGTTCCGCACTGTTCATTTTCACCGCCATCATCAAAGCGTCATCGCCCTGATGATCTCTCAGACCTAGATGAGCCCCGCTCTCCACCAGGAAGGCAACCACATCCTCATGACCACCCCTGACCGCTTTGTGTAGCGCCGACTCCTCCTCACCGGTCTTCATGTACAAATCGGTATCACTCTTGCGTATCAGGTTGATGTCAGCACCGTGTGAAACCAGGCAGCGAACTGCTTCGAGGTTTCCATGCTCTGCGGCCACAATCAGAGCACCACTGCGATCCATCTGAGCTCCGTATCTGATAAAAAGTTCGATCATCGCAACACTGTTCTTCTCGGCCGCCTTTGCCAGCGGCCTGTATACGCGGTTCTGTAGGTCGCGATTCACATCAGCTCCGTGGTCCAGGAGGTACGTTGCCAGGGGGATGTGGTTTGTCAATGTCGCCCAAATGAGTGGGCCCCCAATCGTTCCGTCATGGTCGTAATTAAGGTCGAAGCCGGCGGCGATGACCTTTTGGTAGACGTTGAGGCGGCTAGACTCGAGAACACCTATCCGCACAGCGTCGTCGTTGACGTTTGTACCTAGGCTGATGCAGAATTCGAGGACTTTGGAGTGGCAATGGCGAGCAGCTATCCCAACGAGCTTTTCAAGGGTGGTATCTGCTTCTTGGAGCGAATATGAAGGATTTGGCAGTAGAAGCCTTTTGAGTACTTCGAGGTGACCTTTCGATGCAGCCCTGATAATGATTTCTCGTAAGGATGGCATTTTCCTTTAGTGGTTTTTTAGGAAACAAGCAATTATAGAGACAAGAGAAATTGCACTATTGGTACTCCTCAAAGCCTGAGAAATACAACACAGGAACGCTGACAATCTTTTGGGAAGACACAAGTAATGACAAGGCTCAACACTCTCCTTTCTAGGCATGAAGACGTAGCCTTTCGCCTTCACATGCCAGTCTGTATATTTATAGCGTGTGAGATCATCGCACACTGGGAGCTAGCTCTTTTGGCTACAGTTCCATAGAACACCAGTATCTCCAGCTTCACATACTCGAATGAACGGGTGAGCTTCTGTCCAATTGCGCCAAGTGATCGCCGTGGGATGGGCAGACTCTTGCCGTACCTAATAGCACTCGTTCACTAAAGCCAATATGGACGACAGAATGCACTATTTACCTTGCCTTCTGTTTGGCTTTGAAAACATAGAAGAACCCCAACTCTCATCTGACACGTAAAGAAATGACCCTCAGCATTCGCGTTTGCTCGTAGCTCAGCAATGTACCCGCAGTCCTTGCTTGCTGAGCGAACTCTTCTCCCTGGTATTCAATCTCATTCAGCAGATTTTGGGTTCTGCTACATTGTTGAAAGCCTATCCTTTGAGCAAGGCATGGGTCCTGCATAGATCTTCTGTATGGGACAGATTTTCGATCCTCGGACTTTTCATAGGACATTGACAACAACAAGAGGAATGTGACAAAAACTTTTCAATTCACCAAAAGAACTGTTCCGTCCCCCAAGATCCGTATCAGTGCTTCCGTGCAGCGCTAAATCCTTGCGCTAAGGGGCGAACCGAGGCTCGCAAGTGTAGGAATGACAACGTAAACAGGATACGCAACGCTTGCTCGTATCCAATATAAGAAATCCCTACAAAGCTGGCTTTAATGTCAGACCTCGGCTGTTGTGAAACGGGAACGGGAATAAGCAATCCTCCGCTCTTCTCTCAAGCTTTCTGGCGCCTCAACGACGATGGCTGCCATTGTTTGTACACCTTGTAGCCTATTGGCCTTTCATAATCCGCTCTTCCCTCACTTCTCCCATTGGACCATCACACCGTTTTGGTGTGCTGCTCATGATAAGTTCTTGCCAAAGCTCTACCTTCGGCGACCAAACCAAAACGACTCATCCACAATGGCATCTTCTTTGGCAGATTTCATCCTTATAGGGCCCGGAACCTTCCTCTACACGCCTCCAAAGCCGACGCCTGGACAGCTCATCATACTCTGCACCTGGCTGGGCGCTGCACGCAGGCATATTGCAAAGTATACAGCTTTGTACCGTTGCATCGCCCCGAACGCTCGTATTCTGCTTGTTGAAAGCTCAGTCGGCATCCTCGCAAGCGCGTTTGTCCGCCCACAACGAGTCATGGAATTCGCACCTGCCGCGGCCGCCGTCCTAGATACGCTGGCTGAGTGCGAGCATCGCTCTTCGTCTCATCCAAAAAGGTCCGCAAACGGACGCCTCAGCGACGAGATGACAAATTCCCGGACGTGCCGATCCACGCCTTCATCCAGCTACGCGCAACCCAAGACACTCATGCATATCTTCTCAAACGGCGGGATGAATTCAGCGACCCATCTTTTGCGCGTTCTCCGCTCACGCATGGACCAGCCTCTGGCGCTCACAGGCATGATGTTCGACAGCTGCCCGGGTAAGGCGACATCCTACTGGCAGACGTTCGATGCGATGGTGCTTTCCTTTCCTAAGACCATCTTCTGGCGCTTCTTGGGCGCCTTAGCAGTCCACTGTTTCTTGATCTTCGTGTCCTTGTACATAGCCTGTGGGTATGAAAATCCGGCAACTTTTTGGCGGAGGGGGGTGTTGGAGGAGAGCAGTCCAGCCCGTGGGGCATGTTATCTATTTTCAAGAGAGGACCGTATGATCGAGTGGACAGACGTTGAGCAGCACGCAGAGGAAGCGAGGAGGAAAGGTTGGAGGGTCAAGGAGGTCCTATTCGAAGGGAGTGGGCACTGCGCGCACTTGACTATGGATAGAAGAAGGTACGTCCAGGCTGTCAACAGCGTTTGGGACGGTGATCAAGGCGATAGTGAGGTATTTCCAATGTAGAATTTCTGAAAAGTCATCAGCAATCTACACGATCAGCATTATAGTGCGACATATTAGACTGCGGCTTCAATAAGCTTGCTCGTAAGTCCAAAGTGATATTGCAATGTGCCTTGTCTGAATGGAGGAAAGTACTTATGGCTATCAGTAAAGCAGAGCTTAGATGAGCCCGAAGTTCTGCCGTGTATTGGCTGGTACTTAGGGTAATCTAACAATCAAGCGCCTTTTAGCAGGAAATAGGGATGCGTAATGACTGACATCTGACTCCTATAATAGTCGTCTGACGGTCATACGGTAACAGGCCGTTTGACCTGACAGGTAACAGCGCTAATCGTATACAGTAGGTGTCTAACCATAAAAGATTTAAGGCTAATAAAGACGAGCGGTAAACAGAAGCTTAGCGTTATCTATCTTTAGCTCGGTAAGAGATCGCTAGTAATAATCGATCTCAACCTCAGATACCTCTAAATTCTACCTTTTCCCTCGAATCTCACGCTTTACACTACTATAAGCCCTTTGCAGTGCGGTTATTTAGCTATATATAATTGTCAAATAACCGAGTAGGTCTGACCTGACGTCACGTGTCATATGACAAATCCGCATCCCTAGCAGGAAAAGTGAGGATTCAAGATTGTAGTGAGACGTCACTCAAAAACCACCGTCAAGAGTAAAGGTCAATGGTTTTCCTGCATTGAATACTCCTTTTGCAGTATCTTCAAAATGAATAGTTAATTGCTGATCGGTGCCTGCAAAAGTATGCAAAAATTGGAGAGCTACGAGCTCTCAAGACTGCCACTTTGTCTGGCATGTCAATGAATCGAGCTACAGGAACTCCTTGTCACTCATACACTCCATCAATGACATGTTACCTCTCTTGCATATGAATCCGGCTCCCCGCTGCTTGTCAGCTCTTTACCTTCATTTTCTTGAAATGCACGCAACTGCTCCCTTACTCATTATTTGTGGCTTGAACATATTGCGTTATGCTCCTGAATGGCATTGGTAGCGTACAGTGCAATGCTACCCTACTATACATCACAAGAAGAAAAGTGGGATGTGAGAGGATCATGGAAGGGATTTGATAGAAGTAGAGGTGTTGGTAGAGAGTATTCGAGATAGTGCTATCGACTACAGAGAAGGTCAACGCAACGACGCGTTGACCTCAACAAGCGTGTTTACGCATGGAACACGGTCGAATTCCGCTTAGCTGCAGAAATGGGGCTCACACCATCCGACTATCCTGTCTTCATCACTGTTCAGCTCTACTAAGACAGACATTGTCAATATGGCTAAGCACGTTAGAGCACTCTCGGCGACGATTACCAACAATATTCCATCCTCTGGCAATACAATCGCAGAAGCCGGTCAAGAAGCTATCACTAGATCCACAAACGCTGTTCAACGCATCTTGCACTATGATCAACTCCCCGAATGGAGTACGTACATTTCTAAGCTGATTATTCTTATTTTGTATCGAAACTGAGTCGTAAGACATGTTTTGAGAGGACACTAACGTCACCTATCCCTGAGACCTATCTATCCTGAAGAAGCGATGCTGATCCCAAAATATGCATAGTGAAAATCGACACCTACATCAGACGCGGTTATCGACCTCAACAAGATAGCTTCCGTGACTGCTTCTGGTCGCTGTTCTACCTCCACAATGAGAGTGTCAACATCTGGTCTCATCTGTTACCTGCCTGCTTTTATCTGGTGTCTCTGCTCGGGCTAGACTTTTGGACGTTCCACAGCGGGATCAAGGTGCCGACTGCAGACAGTGCTATCTTCCAGATGTACATTGCATCTATAGTGGGCTGTCTACTTCTCTCGGCAACCTACCATTGCACCAACTCGCATTCAGAACAGATCTCACGTAAAACCCTCAAACTCGATTATTTCGGCATTCTATTGAGTATTATCGGAACCAACGTTTCGGCAACTTACTTCGGCTTATACGGCAACTTTCTTCTACAAGGGTCTTACATCATCTTCATCCTTATCTGTTCCGCCTTCGTGTTTAATGCTTTACTACGCGATGACATCGACGGACCAGGGGCTGCTATACGAAGGTACTTCCCATCTCTCCCTCATCCTCAAATAAGAGAGAGCGTTAGCGCTGACAATAAATATCACAACAGAACTAAAATGTTCATCGAGTTGGCCAGTACTGGTCTCATACCCCCTGCATACATTTGGATACAGGGCATGGATCAGGGTTTGGAAGGGTATGCGTGTATGCATGATGCGATCACGATTCTGTTATATTTTCTAGCGCTCTTCTTCTACTTGACGCACATACCGGAGAGATGGTGGTCACACACTTTTGACATTTGTGTGAGTGGACTGTCTTACTTTCCCACTCGTTTCTGGGTAAAGAATGGCAAGCTAATCAGTGTCTTTTGAGGTCTGCAGGGGGCAAGCCACCAGATCTTTCACATTCTCATCGGTGCCAGCCAGCTTGTGTTTCTGTTCGGATTGCAGGAGGTGATGCAAAGGCACTGTTTGCGTGCAGGGGGGCCGGTTGCCCCGCAGGTATCAGACGAAACGAGTCTTTCATTGTGGATCGAGCCGAGTGTAGCATTGCGGATGGGGAGTCAGCCGTAATTTCAGACAACTTCTTCGTCAACCTGCTATGCATTCATAACCAGACAGTAGTGCAACTGTCAGAAGTCTGTTTCAAGATTACCAAACTGCCTTGAGAATAGATCCACAATGCACAACTTTGGCAAGACTGTCTTGCTGATCAAGATATTGAAGTCCATATTCCAAAGAAACAACAACAACAAAACTTTTATACGCAAAAGACGGCCTCCATAAAGTACTTGAAGGCCGGGGACTGATGATAGAAAGTTACACTCGTGGAAAGATACGAGTAAGCCGTTGCGATTTCGCAATACCAACCAGCAAGAGCAAAGTGCGTATACTTCAGGGTGTGTCTGTTGACCTGCAGCCCATCCGTAGCACTCACATTGGATGATTGATATGCCTGGCCATTTCTCATACTATTTCCATACGAATACGTCCGGAAATGTGACCAAGATAAGGTTATGCAAATCCGGGGAGTATGGGCCATTTTGGACCCTGCATGGGCGGAGCATTCCCGCGAAAGGCGTCATTGACACCCGAGAATTTCTTCTATTACTGAGACGTCTCAGTATTTGCCTCATTACCAAGTCAATAAATGCCTTTCCTCTGCTACACCGCTCTCGTTTTACATCTTGACTCACTTCTACCACCTATGCGATGGCCCCCGTTTCAGAAGACGATTGTCCCGTCTGCCAAACAACACTCTCGCAAATGAGTGAAGGGACAAGAGAATCACATGTCCAGACCTGCATCGAATCACATCTCTCAGCACCGCTGAAATATCCTTCCTCTGCATCCAAACTCCCTCAGAACTCTCGGGCACAAGAAAGCGAAGATAAAGGAGAATCATGTCCCATCTGCCATACATCATACTTGACTAAAGACTTTGATGGCAGCGACTCTGCTCGCGAAGCACACTTCTCTACTTGCTTTGAATCGCAGTCATCGAGCTCCAAGTCTGCACCATCTCCTGGATCGCCGCCTTCCTACAATAGAGAAGGAACCTTCGACAGCAATTCTAAGTCTTCAGAAGCAGCGTTCCCGTCGGAGAAAGGAGCCGCCTCAAAATTAGGACCCACCCCATCAAGAAGCGCGACCATGCCAATTCGACCACCCGTTCCGACCGAGGCTCCACCGAGCGGCTCTCGGAGGCTTTCCATCTTTGGGTTTGGAAACGGCAAGAACAAGGAACAGAAAATGGAGGAGAAGGTCACGAAAGCTGATGGCTTGATGCGTCAAAGATGGGGTCCTCCAGGCTCTCCTACATCGGAGATGGTGAGAAGGTACTGGATGGCGACAAGAATGGAACAGCATTGGGAGTATCTCCGAGCGCACCATCCTAGGCAATTCAAGAAATACCTGGGTAAAGGTTACATGGAGCCCATACCTGTATGTACTCTTTCGGGACGATTTTTTCCCTTTCAGTACCTTGGCTTGAGTCATGAGACATGTTTGACGAGTAATAAAAATGTTCTTGCTCTGCAAAGCTGTCTCATCACGCAAAAATCCGTTTCACAAGAGAGATCCTAATTTCGAGCGTGTAGACGTCCTGGGTCCAGAACAGACAGCTGGCGTACCTCTATCCGGAACCCTCAAATTGGGAAACGCCAGCAGAGAAACGATTGTACTACCTGCTCAACAATGGGGTCATGCCTGACGGATCAATGGTACGTATTTTCGGAGTTCCAATTTCCTCTTCTGGACCAGATCTTGAGCCTTGAAACATGTCTTGAGAGTGTCTACTTGGTAGACAGATTCCAAGGCTCAAGATAAACCCTCGGTTAGGCAATGCTGACTCTGAAACTATCATCCAGCATCCAGTGTTACGGCCACTTAATATCAACAGAGATATGTACACCATTATCCGACGAGGCAACGAGAGAAATGCCAGACAAGTCCATCTCAATGCGCAGAAGCTAGCTCAATACCAAAGCCCGGGTGACGTTTTCCAGAGTGACAAGGATATCAAATCGCATCGCTACTCGGATCAGGTACCCAATACCGTGTACGAAGCCCGGACGGCGGCATTGCACGAGCTTGCTGAAGGCATCATACACGGCACAGACCATCTTGAGACCATGCTATTGATTGATGTCTCGGGATCAATGACGTGGAATCCTCATGGAGGCATGCTGGGGCCCGATGGGATTCTACGATTCCACGACCAGCCCTCCAATATACTCCTCGTGCAACATCTCGTCCACAGAGTATTACACCATATGATCCCTCGACAACAGAAAGAGCATTCCACCCAGATAGGCATCGACACCGTGACGTTCTCGAGCTTCGGTAGATACGTGGGTCAGATATCTGCAGATCGCTTTACACAGGACTGGAACAGACAGGTCCAGCTGGGCGGCGGTACTCAAGTCATGCAAGGTTGGCAAACCGTCAAAGCCACATACTTCCAGCACCAGCACGAGAGCTACGGTCATGGCAGGTGGGACCCTGTATTTGGATGGCAAGCTACGCCCGGCATGCCCAAGCTGTCACTACTGGTCTTCCTCGACGGCGAGGCTACGGATATGGATGAATTCGAGCTCGAGCTGCTGGGCGAAACATGGGCGTACGTGACGATTGCGCTGGTCGGGATGGAGAACTGCCCGCATCATCATTCGCATGCTATCGAGCTGGAGCGTGTTGCCAAGTTCAACCCGCATGTTGGCTTCTTCGATGTGCATGGGAGAGTATGTGAGAGGATGGTTGTGGAAGATATACTGAGCAGTGTCTATCCTGTAGACCCACCCTCATACAGTGAGATCCTCAAGCCAGAGTACGATCTGCCACCTGAAGAGCTGCCGAAGTATTCGGCGTACTGATGGACAAGATTTGCTGGCGTTCAGTGATGGGTGAATAAGGATTCAACTTCCAATTTAGTCTCTTTGAGCGACCTCATTATGCATGCGTTAAGCGAATTCTACGAATCTCTTATGAAGGCGTTTCGGAGAAAACAATTCTTGGCGGGGTGGAAAGCGCTGTTCTGTACTAGTACCATAGCTCCTGCGCAATCACAGAGTTGATTTGAATCTGAAACACCTGCCACATATCAAAGCTCTGCCTCAAAGCCAACGTTACATCCTAAAGGAATCGCCAGCGTACACTGAGTGATGCAAAGGCATTAGGGCTATTAGCCTCATTTTCAGCGCTAATGTACGGGTACCGTACCATCCAGAAGCCGGAGTCCGGACCTAACAGGTTTCCGTTGGGCCACGGCCCCACCAGCGTCGAGACTTCATAAAAGTAACAGCGTAAAGTACGGACGGTACCTCACTTACTATCGTTTGCATCCCCGCACGTCCAATATGCAAGCAGCAAGATTCAACAGCGATATTCTATTTCACTATCGTTTGTTCGGGGCGCCTCGCTCTTTGTTGGTTGTTGGCGGGGTCCAAAAAAATGGCGCTCGTCAGGGTCAGGGTCAGCCCATGCGACAAAGGAAGGGAGAATCCTTGAGAGGGTGGGACAAAGGCAACGCAATGCGCGGCAACTTTAAGCTCTTTCAGCGAACCTCACACGCGACCGGGAAGGGAGAAGTAAAGCCTGTGAGAGGATGGATGGGACAAGGCAAGCCAATGCGATGGTGCGGTGAGTAAGCTCGCCAGTCAGAATGGGGTAAGCTTCGCGACGGCAACGTTGGGAAGGGCTGAGATGCTCAGCTCCGTCAGAAAGAGAAATGGAAAATGCTGCTCCGTGCCCATCTATATAACGATGATAATGTATGGATGTGGGTAGTGAGTGTGTTCTTTTAATTACTTTACTTTGTCATGGATTACTCCTACCTTAGCCAACGATGACAGGCTCAGAGTCATGGGTGTCTCTTGGCTTTCTGACTGAGATCCCGACTGACTGGGTTTCCCGACTGACTGAATTTCCCGGAAAGCTGACAAGCCGTTGGCACTCGCATCTCATAAATTTAAATCCTTAAAAGTCGAAAGGTCGAACGGGTTCGGTCTTTATCTTATCCCGACCCCGCCAGGATCCATTTCCAATCATTCCTGATCATCCATACGAGCCTGCCTTTCTTTCACTTCCTTCTCCCTCTTTGTTGTCTCTCCAATCGTTCCTACCCTTTTCCCTTTTTCCTCCTTCCTCCATTGCGACATTTGCTCAGACGCCTTGCGGACACCAAAAGGTCCGTTCTTCCAGCCTCCGCCATGCTTGCTGCCGAGACGGCTCACGGCCAGAACCTCACGTGCCGTACACACATCGACAGTCAGCAATTAATCTCCCAGGTTTACTGTGCTTTCTGTCCAGTCGCGCACACTATGAATTACATTGCAAGCGCCTTCACTTCGAGGCCCATTTCCGCAAAATCTTTAAAATCTGGGGTCAGTACACCGTCGGTATTCGAAGAGACTGCCCTAGATGAAGGACGGCAAGATTCAAGCCTTGAAACCCAAGCTACCTCTATAGCAGATTCAGATATAGCATCTAAGAGGCGGAGAGCATCCAGCAGAACCAGAACCAAGACTGCCTTTCGCCTTTGCCATCCGCCTCCTGTCCGCATCCACAAACAGCGTCTCCATATACGGCCGAGAGTGCTTCTACAGCTCCAGAAGCTCTCCAAAGCATCCCGGCCGACTCCTGTCTTCGAAGTGCTACCTTCGGTTGTCTTCGCGCCAAGGCTTGCGAGGCGTTTCCCCCGCACTTTCAAAGGCAAAGCTGGTCTGGGCGTGGATGACTTGGTGATTGTCAGCAGTGAGAATTACGAGGCGCAAGAGCGGCACTCTCATGACGTTGACGATTTGTTCGACGACAAATGGGATAAGCGGGAGATCATTGCTGCCATCTGTCAACCAAGCAAAGACGACTACCCGTACGGTCAAGGAGAGACGGAGATATGCCTGAACCATGGACCATCCTGGACTGCTTCGCAGCGTAAGAATGGCTCTTACGAGTTCGCATCTACCGACGACTGCGGTAATCAAACGTTAGCCAGGTGGGTACCCAAGCAGGCGAAAAGTGACCGGACAGCGTCCATATCATCCGTGTCCGAGGAAAAGAAATTCAATTTTAGCATACTCAACCCAAAGTCGCGTCGTCATGCCGTTATTGCAACTCTGGACTGTCATACAATAGAGGTTTCAGATCAATATTCCCATCCGTCTACAAGCCTGAGCTCACAAGCTTCTTCCACGCCTACGACGTCCTCTTCCTCACTTTCCGAAGAACCCCAGACGCCCTCCATAAGATCAAGCCTACCGGCTCGAGATCCTATAGAGGTGGACGACGCACTGAGAACACTTATCACCATCACTGGTATCTGGGTAGCACTTCGAGAAGGCTTTTCACCGAACTTCAAGTACGGCCAAACCACGCAAGGTCTGCCAATTAGCCCTAATCTGGCTCTGGGTCATAAGCATCGAAGCCTGTCTCTCAACGCGAATCACTTCAATAGCAATCAGCTTGCGATTCCCAAAAGCCCAAGTCATAGCTTAAGCAGTGCGAAAGGGACAAGGACCGGCCTTCAACACACCGTTTCAAATTCCACAGTACCACTCTCATCTTACCCACCGTTTACTCCACCTCAAAGGTCTGTCTCCGCCGGTACGGCGTTTATGCAGCGACTATCTACGCGCAAATCATCCACGCCAAAGATCATCCAACTAAGCCCTGTTGGTGACCTTGAGGGTAGCGACACGGAGAAAGATGCGCGTCGGGCGAATGGGTCCCCTTTGCCGCGTTCATCGATGAGTTCCAGAGAGGGACGGGATGTTTCTCTGGAACAAGGCATTGGCGGTCTCGGTTTGGACTTTGGAGATGGTATTTCTCAGCCGACGAAAAGGGCGGCAAGAAGGTCCAGCAGCAGGATCAGGAAGATGTTTGGCCGGAGTCCCAAAGAGCGTGATGTATGAAGAGAAACAGCCAGAGATGTATTGCAGCGTCTAGGACTACTGCAATCCCGGCCTCTATTCATAGCCATAGCTGTAGTGATGGCGAATCATTCCTCTTGTGTATCCGTTCCACTAGTACCTTTGTGACTGATCAGATGATTTCAAAGTCCACATGATGAATGCGATTAGTGGCGACCGTTTCAAATAAGGGTGAACCATGAACCCTTGGCGCTGGTCTGTGCGCGCCTCGGGCGTTAAAAATTTCCCCAAAATTATTTCGCGTCATTTGGGCCTTCAAGTCACTGCTCGCGATAACAACTCCACCCACTCTCTCTCTCACTCTCAATGTATCATATATGCCAGAGCATAGTATGACTACTGCCCTCTACAGCTGTTTCATGAGCTGTCGAGAACCTTTGAATCGCGCATGCTACTGCCGGAAAAATCAGGAAATCATCAATAAAGGAGCACACGCCTAGACCCTTGAATGCCCCTCTCGAAAGCACCAGACAAATCTTGGTCAACACCTCTCAAACAAGGACCCTACCTGAGGAGGATACCGATGAAATCAAAGAAACCTCAGATTGAAATACTATATATCCTCACTTCAATGGCAATGAATGCGACCTGTTGAAAAGATTTATGGAGATGTCTCAGAATTTCAACGGCTACCGTGGTACATCTCACGGCTCACCACCGCCACATGCGAACAATGACTTTACAGGCCTCATGGGCTCTTTGATTTCACCTGGCACTGCCCCCGCTACACCACTTCAGCAAGCCTTTGGTATGCCGTTCTACAACACACCGGCTTGGCAGAATGGTGGGCAGGGGAACTACAGTTTCAACGTGCCATTCCAAGGGTCGCCCGTAAATCAAGATGCTTGGAAACACAATGGCGGAGAAGACTACATGGCTCTCGGCCAACAAGAAGAGGAAGAAGAAGAAGACGACGAAGACGAAGACTCACTTATGGTTGTTGATGATACAGAGATACTCAATAGTCTGCAGAAGAACCAACAGCACAATCAGAACGGCGGATCAGCAAGCCACACGCAAGCAGCAAACCACGAACCACCTGCTAAGCCCGGGCAGCTCCTCAACCTCGCTTCGTCCTCCCCACTAGCTCTACCTCACCCCAGACTACAGGGCCCGGTAGCCCCCACTCCAGCGTTGGTGACAAAGTTTCCAATGGTCAACGATAGCGCTGCGCGTGCAGCGGAGCTGAGAGCGAAGCTCCTGGCTAAAAGGCCTTCGACTACAGCATCCCCAAGAGCAAGTCCGGCTGTGAATAGAGCCGAGCTTCCCAACGCTACGCAGACCAACGCCCAAGAGCTGCATATAAACGGAGCACTGACAACAAGGGCGAAAGCGGAAGATGATTTGAAAATTGCCGCGGTGCAGGCCACCGCAGCAACAAACGCCGATGAAAAGTCTACAAGTAAACCCCAAGGACAACCTCAGGGTAAACCTGTCAAAGATGACGAATTTGAACACCTTTTTGCTCAAGCCAGGAACGCCGCCGACACTGCCAAGTCAGAAGCTAAGATGACGAATGGAAGTCGTCTTGTCAGAGCAAGTGTTGAGAAGCCAGCAGACCGACCCATGAGCGACGTCAAACCGACAAAACCTGCTGTCTCAGACATGCGCCCCGCCTTACAGAAGAACCACTCCTCTTCTGAAATGTCCGAAGGAGAGATTCACAGCGGTCCTCCCTCGCCAACCGTCGCTCCACCATCCCCTAAAGCTACAGAGGCCAAGGAGAGCAAACAGGCTGACCAAGACAAGAACGAAAAGCTGATGCGCCAGAATGAGGTACACAAGGCGTATCAACCTCTTAGGATATCTAAGCAACCAGCAACAGAGCCTGCAAAATCAGGCCCAAAGATGGCGGATCACTCCAGAGCAGAACAATCACCGTCCCCCAAATTATCGAACAAACAGCTCAAGCAGCAGGCGTGGAAGCAGAAAAATGGCTACGCAGGATCTCATGATTTTTATCCAGACTCACGAAGGGATCGAGAGTGGGATCGAGCTAGAGGTCCTAACGCTAGAGATGACGACAGAGATTCAAGAAGACCATCAACATCACAAGCATCTGCCAATCTCGCTCAAGTCGAGCGAGACGCCCGACGAAGGCTGTCAGATGATGAGATACGTCGACAACAGCGCACGGAGGATAACGCCAGGAGAGCAGCGGAATATAAGAAAAACCTTGAGGCTCAACGAGCAGCAGCTGCAAAGAAGGCCTCAGACAGCTCCAAGGTGTTTTCGTCACCAAAAGACGTTCGCAGACATGAACCGGAACCACGAGCAT